ATGGGAACAGAAGTAGAGTTTGCTCACTGTGGAGTTCCCAGTGATTCCAACCTCGTGGTCAGAGACAGTGTAGAGAACACTGGTATAGGACTCCCAGGGGTTTAGCTGTGACTGAATCTTTAGAAGGTCCTAATCTATAAGAATCTCCTCAAGGAGGGGGCAACAATGCTTGATAGGAAATGTACTCATTACCTTGCTCATGTAACCGTACCCCCTCTGTACAGTATTTTTGCAATAAAAATGTATTAAAAAAGAATCTCTTCAAAAGAAAGCAAAGTGATAAAAAAAAAACCCTTATTGGTACCTGTAACTGCTGCGGAACATGGATTGGTACTCGATGGCTATCAGCATGAGGTTCATCTTCACATAGCAGAGTCTAGGAAGGAAGACAAGGACTTGTTAGCAGAGGTAGATGAGCATGGCTAGCTTATGTGATCATAACCAATCCTTAGTGTTCCACATGGAGGAGAAAACCATCTCAGCAGAGGAAGGAAGTCCCCTATACAGATCTCTACTGGTAAAGTGAAGACAACGCTTAGTCAGGGGACCACTGAGACAGAGGTGAGATTGTCCTGTGTGCACTAAACACTGATAGGTTTCAGAGCCTCTGAATGCTTCATTCCCACACACCAGCTTGTGTGACAGACTCCAGCCTACAGGGAGCCTTCATGAGTGCTACAGTGGTACACACAGGGAACTATTTCACTTGACTTACCTGGAAGCCTCAGGAAAACTCATTCCAGCAAAGTCATCTGAGAGTCGCTGAGTCAAAATTTTGTTCTTTAGGCCACTTAAGAAATATTTTTGCCAGGGAAGCTTAGGAGTAACCTGGAATGCACAATCACACTCATGGAGTACATAGCCATGGCATATGGGCTGCTATGATACAAGTTGTATATTCTGCTAAGCAGCAAGGTGCTTGCATTTAGTCATAGAAAGGAGATTTGGTTTATTGTGAATTGAAGAAAAATTGTGGAAGAACTAAAACTCAACTGTTTTCACCAAAGAGTTCAGGATAAGGATGCCTCCTGATTTAGTTTCTCCCCAGATGGTATCAAAGTCTCCTTTGAAATTAAACTTCCTCTCTCTTGTCCACTCCTAACTTCAGGGTACAAGCCCATTTTTCCAGTCAGTAATGACAAGATGGGAGGGATAATGTGGAATCTAAGTTGTCATCTTTTCAATGCATGGAGTCCTGGAGGAGTCCTAGCCTGTGTGTAAGACTCTGCTGGAGTCCTGGAGGAGTCCCAGCCTGTGTGTAAGACTCTGCCCCCTTCTCCCACATGCACCATGAGAACCAATCCCAAACAGACTGCCTTGGGAAGCATGGCAGTCTCTTCAAAAGCCGGATTACAGGCAAAAGTCTGAAATTTCTGAATTTTCTCAAGCATTGTCTCTGGGATGTGGGATAAGTTATAGGAAAGAGGTGGATTTGTAAAGTGTCCTAGGAACTCATACTATGATTTGGGAGTTTCCCTGATTAAAAGAGAAAAAAAGTGTTGAAGAATCTAATAGGGGAGATTCTGGGTAGATATTCAACAGCAAAGACATAGCATATAGTGGTAAGAGGGTAGACTAGAATAATTCTTATTGTGCTGTCATCAACTTTCTATACAACCCAGTTTGTTAGCTAACCAGCTCACCAACCCACAGTGGAGATAATACCTTCAGTATTGGGAAGGTATTTCCCTCTTACCTTCAGAATGAGGGAAAATGCAACACACACTAAACACTAAATCCATCATCACTGTTGTGTCTATTATACAGACTTAGCCAAAAATAATCTGGAAATCAGATTTCTGATTGGTAAAATTATATGTTTATTATTCTAATTATTATTTTGTATTTTATTTATATTTATAACTATATTTATATAACTTTATATTCATATGTTTATGACTATATTTATAATATGACTTCTCTATTATTTAGATAACTTTTGTTTATATTTTTTATGTTCAGTAAGCCAAAGTGCTTCCAAATTTAGGAATCTATTTACATTTATAACATTCTGGAGTACAGGTAGGAAGCAGAGTTATAATTTTTATTATATAGGTAAGTACTGCATGAATAAGACAAATGACTTCTTCAAGGCCAGTAAAGTACCTATAATTTAAATCTAAATCCCCTGTGGACTCAAGTGAAAATCAAATCCCATTTCTTGGAGACTTCTTGTTTTCCTCATCTTTCTCTTCCCATTTCTGAGCCTGATATGAAGGATGCTTAATTTGAGTAAGAGCAAAGCATGAACATCAGTTTCCACAGTTACCTTTTTGTTTTGCTCAATAAATAGAGATGTAAGTAAAGTACATAAGCCGGGTACCGAACAACCTTGTGCAATAAATCCAAGCTTTAATTCAGCAAAGCAGATGATGTTGTCCCCAGCACTCCAGTTCCAGTTGGGAATCTTGGGCAGGAAAACCTGGTTTATGGTAGAAAGCAGATCAAATGCTAAGAATGCACAGGCTTCAAGCAAGTTCTTTTGGATGAATGTCTACTTGGAATCATTACTCTCCATTCTTGAGACTTAAAAGGGAGCCTAGGCCAACAAATTCAGCATTTGAAAATGGCTAATGTTCAGCTGCTTGCAGTTTTTAAAATCAATAGAGCTAGAGTTGTCAAATCAGGTCAGATGGCTTAAACCATGAGGCCTGACCCTAATTTTAACCTTATTAAGTGGACAACTTTATGATACTACAGATTTCACCTATAGTAGCAAATCTTTTTAATCTGTAGACCAATTAACAAATAACCAGGTTCATCTCATGCCTTAGATTTAGATGCAGATGCAGAGAAGGAGACAGGACATGCTGGTATGTTACCATACCTTGTTATGGGAATGAAGAATCTGGATGATGATTCTTGTCTTGGGGTAATAGTTCTTGATAGATAGCACTCTGTATAAGCCACAAATATACTCATTAATGATATGCTATATTGGATGTGTCATGCAATTAAATTGATGTGCGGATAAGCATGGGAAAGATAGCATAGCATTGTTATGTTGCTTTCTAAAAATGTTCTGAGGAGAATATATACTGTAAAGAAGGGCATACATGCCAGAAACCAGTGATTCACTCCTGTAATCATAGCTACTAAGCAGGCTGAGATCTGAGGATTGCAGTTCAAAGCCAGCCCGGGCAGGAAAGTCCATGTGACTCTTAACTCCAGTTAACCACTAGAAAAGTGGCTCAAGCGGTAGAGCGCTCACCTTGAGCTGAAGAGCTGAGGGACAGAGCCCAAGCCCAGAGTTCAAGCCCCACGACCGACAAATAAATAAATAAATAAATAAATAAATAAGAAGGGCATACATGCAAAGAGCAACAATGTGGTTTCTCCAAAACCACATCTACAGAAAGGTCAGCTTTTGATATTAGAAGACTTTGTTTTTCTGGAACCAGTTCACAAGAAGGAAATAAAACAGTTTCACAAGTCTTAGCCTTCATACCTAAAAGTGATAATCACCAAAAATTAGAGTTTTAATTCCTGTCTATAGCTTGAAACAGCTCATAGAATGTCTAATTCATCTTCTTCATCTTATGAATTAATCAACAAGGATTGATCTCCAATGCACTGTGCTCTGAGTAGTGCCAGTTCGTCATGGTTTCTTGCTACATGTCAAGATTTCAGCTGGGGTCTGGGGATGTGGCTTAGTGGTAGAGTGCTTGCCAAGCAGGCATAAAGCCTTGGGTTTGATTCCTCAGTACCACATACACAGAAAAAGCTGGAAATTGTGCTGTAGTTCAACTGGTAGAGTGCTAGCCTTGAGCAAAAGCAGCTCAGAGTCAGTATTCAGGCCCTAAGTTCAAGCCTCAGGATTGGCAAAAAATAAAGACATTCAGCTGTACATATTTATTTTGTTCTGGGGAAAGTCGGTTCATCTGACCAAGGCATAATACCATTACCACCACAGTCCTATTTGAATCTCTGTTGTCATAACTTGAGTTCCTTCTCACAGATACTTCCCATTGAAAACTGGACAACTTTTCAGTTGTCACAAGCACATCTTGTCAAACCAGGCATAATCTTTCACTACTACTCAAAAAACTCCGTGCCCCACCCCATCCATCAACAAAATTTACTAAGAGCCACAAATGGCATCTTTGCTTTTTTTTTTTTTTT